CAGGGGTTGAAACAGGGGTAATTGGTAAGTCGTTTAGAGAAGGCGATAAAGACAAAATTGGAGAAACATCCAAGTTGCTAGGAAGGGACAGGACGTAGAGGGCAATTGCAAAAGTTGAGGCTCCATCCGGCGATTGGTTGGCAACTCGCATCGAATCAAAATTACTCGAGAGCTGCTTAGCCACATAATTCAATTTTAAGAATTGATTTCTCACAGAATTATACATTCTGGAGAGATTAATTTGTTTGTCGATGCATTCTGGGCACGACCAACGCAAGCCGCCACAGCCCTTCTTGGCAGTTGCAGCGATCTTGTCCAGTTAAGCCCAGTGAGACCTGCACATTTAGCATGCATCATATTCTCACACAGCCAGCAATTAAAAAATTGCGGCAGTGCAGAATCATCAGCTTGCTTGAACGTCCACGGTTTTTTACAGCACGACATAATTATTAAATGCGTATGCAAGTTGCGAGAGCGTAGAGCAAAACAAAACGGTGCACAAGATAGAGCAAGCACTCAAAAAAGAATTATTCGTACACAAACAAATTGTTTGGAGCGAAAAACAATAGAAAAAATTGCGAGAGCGCGATGCACAAGCAGAAAATATGCAGCGAACACACGCACAATCCAGTGTATGCATAAGGGAGCACCAAAGCAAAAGAATAAAAACAGGCAATAACAACAATACGTAACTGACGCCGCGTTTAATAAATGCAATAATTAACAGCCTTACGCTGCACAACAGAAAACACTTTGCACAAATTATAAAAGCTTTTTAAATAAAGCACAGACAAAATGCAAAATTTTGAAATAAAAAGCAGGATTAATGGTATATAATGATCATAAAGAGAGGCAAACAAGGTGCTGTCATAAGCAATTATTGTGCTGTTCATGAGGAGAGCCAGTTAACGTTGGATCTCCTCGTATTACTGTATTATTGTCAAGTTTCATTGACGCAGAGTCGATAGTTCCTTTTCAATTAGGTAAATGAGCCGGCTCTCGTCGTACGTAAAGTAAAATTTTTTAATAATTGCTTTTAAATGTTTTGGAGTGTCATACGAAGACAGCACCATATCTGAAGTACCTTTGATTTTATTTCTGATGATACCGAATTGCTAGTAATTGTTTGAGCTGCCTGCATAATTATCCAACATTGTAGAAGGCCGTATACTCTGCTTTACGCCATGAAACATATGTTTCAAGTTTCTCCTTATAGTCGGGTACTGACTTCACAATATCTAATATCTCGTGACATTCTTAGTCTTATATAATCTCGGCATCTTTAAATATAATTAAATATTTCTCGGGTACGGTTACTACAGCTTTTGAAAAATTAATTTTTTTCATTTACTTTAATTTTTTTAACATTTGGGCCTGACTAGCGAAACTTATTTTCCGCACATTAAAGTAATGATTTCATGTCGGATGCACTAAACGGCATTTTGGCTGTTTAGTTTCCATACCAGACCACCAATTGTCACGCTGACTTGCTCTGAACTGTCTTAGTTTCACTGAAATCTTGTCAAAACCGAATACTCAATCCTCTCTTTTACTACTAACAAGGATATTCCTTTTTTGGTTTACAAGAAATAAAATAAAATCACCCGTATAAATTTAATTTTTAAATGTATTTTGTTTCTTTGAACATACAAATTTTTCAAATATGCGCTCTATTTGCATTTTTTTTTGTTTTTTTTTTTTTGGTATTTGTATAATTATAACTGACCGTCCAACCAAAGACAATATAAACACTAAGATGAGTAACGCCATACAACAAAATGCTACTATGTAGCTTTATTTTTTTGAAAATTGAGAACGAAAACGAAATCTGTAGCATTGCGCTCTCACAGCCGAGAGAACGAAAAAGCTAAAAATAGATTTTGCTCTCAGCTTCGGCTCTGTGAGGGCCGTGCAAGCAATTATGTTTGTACGCGTGTGAATATACATACATAACAGCATATTTGAATGTGTTGTTATCCACTGCTCTGGCAAAGTCTCTGGCTGGCAAAGAAACAATTTTCTTAGTTTTTTAGCGCAGATTATGACCTACCCAATATTTCTGTTGATATATGAATGCATTTTGTGTACTGACGTTGGCTCCGTACAAAATATGTATTTTTAAGTCGATGCAAATATTTATGTAATTTTTGATATTTGAAATTATTAAAGCAATTATTTTTATTTTTAAGTAATACAAAATAAATTAAGGATATAAAAGTGCAAATTTGCTGTTTTCAAAGATACATTTAATTAATTTTTATTTTTTTTATTTTATTATTTTTTGTTCAAATTATAAGGAACAAAGTACGCAGGGAACACCGCGAGGATGCCATTATAATTATAATGGGGTCACAGCTAAATATGACCTTCGAGTCGACTTGAAATGTAATTGTATTTTTTAGCACTCTTGTTATTTTTTGATTGGAGAATAAAAATAATATTAATTTAGTTTAAAGAAATTATGTAAGTAATTGCAACGACTTAAAAATACACATTTTCTGCGGAGCCAACCTCAGTACACAAAATGCATTCATATATCAACACAAATTTGGGATAGGTCATAATCTGCGCTAGAAAACTAACAAAATCAATTTCTTGCCAGCTGCAACGAAAGGTTCACGATCGCTATTGGCTGAGACAAGAACTTTTCTCGAGCATACACTGTCCAAAAAGAAAAGTGAAATCAATCTATGTGTGCTATTTTCTTAACATAGTTATTGCGCAAGAAGCGCCTTGTGTAAAAATTATATAAGTTCTTAAAATTTCCTGTAAAATTAATCGTTAATATCTAGGGTAATATATCATTTAAATAAAGCATGCATTTCATGGATAAAGCACAACCACTTTGCGTCGATCGTAAGTTATAAACTTTTTCGCTCAATGTACTTCGAAAACGAAGCGACGCAAAGCAGCATCCACCAACTTTGCTGAAGGCAGGCTGGCGACTAACTTCGTTGCTCGTGCCAGCATCAGCAAGCCGCTACTTCGTCATTCGTTCGTCTGGTCTTTGGAGAACGAACAACCAGTCGGCTGGCATGCCGGACCCAGCCTTAAATGTCAGATGAAAGGCCAGGCTAGAAATTTTGCGTCGCATTCAAATGTATGGGCGTTACTCATCTTAGTGTTTATATTGTCTTTGGTCAAACCCTGTGTCTTGGATTTTTGTGATGTCCTTACTTGTGCGATATTACTTTGAGATGTACTATTGCTTAAATCAAACTTACCATGCACGATCGAACGGCCTTTGATTTAAAACTTGGATGTGTTTACCTATATATATAAATTTATATATTTAGTGATAAATTCACAAGTGAACTTTGAACCACTGCTATTCAAAAGCTGCGTTGCATGGTATAACCAAAGACAATCTTAAGACTAAGATGACTAATGCCGTAGAACAGAATGCTACACTGCAACTTTTTTGAAAATTGATAACGAAAACGAAATCTGTATCAAATTGTAAATGCGCCCCGTATAAGACTGGTAAGTACAGAACACTAACAGCAAAAGCCACTTCAGTGAATATATATATATTTTTTTAAGGTACTCGTGCATACAAAATTTGCAATTCAATACATGCTTGTGCTTGTTGGCCATTGAATGCGACAATAACTTCTCTCCAGCATGAACTGTGGTATGATAATATAAGCACTAAGGCTAAGACAATATAAGCACTAAGATGAGTAACGCCCATACATTTGCATGTGAGGCAAAATTACTAGGTGGCTTCCTAAACAGGCTTTTACGATTTCGCACGACATGGCAGGCGACTGCTGTTCATTTAGACGAACGAATGCCGAAGTCGTGGCTTGCTGATTCTGACACGAGCAGCATAATTAGTCGCCAGCCTGCCTTCAGAAAAGTTGGTCGATAGTGTTTTGCGTCGCTTCGTTTTCGAAGTACATTAAGCAAAAAAGTTTTGAGCTTACGATCGACGCAAAGTGCTTTCACTTTATCCATGCTTTATTTAAATGATATATTACCCTAGATACGAACGATTAATTTTACAGGAACATTTAAGAATTAAATAATTTTAACACAAGGCGCTTCTTGTACAATAACTATGTTAAGAATTTGTTTTTGGACGGTGTATGCTCCAGAGAATTTCTTGTCTCAGCCAATGGCGTGCAAGCACCTTTGTTTGTATGCGTGAATTATTCATGCATAAGGACATCAATATATGTATGTATGTTGTCTGGTTACGCAGCCAAAACAACTGGAGCGACCTCGCAACTGATAAGAGCAGCATCTTAATTTTATCTTATAATACTCGCTCTAATTATTTCTATTTGTGAAAGCTATTGAAAAAGCTCAATAGCGCAACAGTTATTATTCACTACTCTATCTTTAGCTGACAAGAAATTAATTTTGTTAGTTTTCTAGAGCTGATGATGACCTATTCCGAATTTGTGTTGACATATAAATGCATGTTTTGCACTGAGGTTGGCTCCGTAGAAAATATTTATTGTTAAGTCGATGCAAATATTTACTTATATAATTTCTCTGTCTTTTTTTAGCCTTTTCGCTCTCTCGGCTGTGAGAGCGCAATGATACAGGTTTCGTTTTCGGTTTCAATTTTCAAAAAATAAAGATGCATAGTAGGATTTTGTTGTATGGCGATACTCATCTCAGTCTTTAGATTGTCTATGGTATGAAGATAGTTATTGTTCATTATTATTACGTTATAAAAATTTAATGTTTCCAAAATTGTCTTTACAATTAAGCAAAAGTATCGAAGGTAAAATATCATTCATGAATACCACGGATAAAAAAAAATTTACTAAGCTTCGTTCGACTCAAAACTTTTTGTTCAAAGAACTTCAAAAACGTAACGACACATATCGCCATCGACTAGCTTTGGTGGGCGAAAAGCCAGTTAGTTGGCGTAATGCTTGAAGAGCGAAAAGCCTTATGACTTTGGATAATTTTGTATCATCTTATTGTTAATATTGTCTTTGCTTGATCATACTTGCCAATGAACAACAAAACCTTCAAACAGAGCGGTTATGACTGAATTAGTATTTTAAATTTAATTTGCAAAATTTATCGAAGACTACGAAATGGAAAATTGTGTTTCATTTCTTAAATAATGGAAACGACGTCAAAAAGTCGATTGGGCTGGTCTGGTAGCTGGTAGCATCAATTCACACTCGCACCCCAACTGGCTCGACATCAAGGCGTTTTATGTTCCATAAGTCTACTATATCCAAGGCTGGATATATTAACATTCATCAAGGCCATTCATTAACATTAATTTAAATGGAATAACAATACATAAATATGTTAAATATTAAAATTTAAACATTTTAAAAAGTTAGTGTTTTACTCAATTTTACATGTACAATATTAAATTTAGATACTAGCTTTAGTACTTAAAATTACCTATTTGATAACAACAGTTGTAGCGGAGATCGGACCATATGTGTTTCTGTTAAAAACGAGAATTTGTACTTAAATCACAGAAATGCTAAGTAACTTACATTAATCATATCAAAATTTTAGGTCCTTTATAGCCTGTGGTAAGTCTGGCAGTTTCATGTCCTTAATTTGTTGTGGAATGTTCATGCTTTTTACAACGCTTACAGCACGAGCTGGTGCTGCAGATATTCCTGATTCCTGTTTAATCAACCTATTTTGGTCTTCAATCCTGGTTATTATATCGTTCATGTTAGTTTGCAGTACCATTCCGCCCATAACCAGCTCTGATAGAATATGATGAACGGCATCAGCATGAAATATTAAATCCAGTTCACACACATTTTCGAAACACTTATCCAAGGTTTCCACGAATACTTGTATCAAATCAAGTATACCAAGCTCACTCTCCGAGGAGTCAACACAAAATACAAAGTACAGTGTTGCATAATGGCGGTATATTAGCTTGTAATCTGAGCCGCCTATCAAGCTGAGGCACGAAAATGTAATATTTATATGCATGAATATGTAGGAATATATACTAAGAATATGTAGGAATATTACTAAGAGTCCATCTTTTTAAATTTCAGATACAATGCAAGTGTATTCTTTAATATATGAGAGTTCACTGTCCGGGTTTATGAAACTTTTGGCCCTTTTGTGTGTCACACAGATACATATGTGCATAAACCAACGTACTAGGCTTAATCTTTATAAATTTTCTTTTTGGTCCAAAATTCCTCTGTCTTCTTACAATTAAAAACATATTAATTAGATATTATCTGCCAAACACACGCCGGTTATAGTTCGTTCATTTCATTTCAAACACAAATTTACAACAAAAATCATCTAAAGTAACACGGATCCTAGCTTCTATGACCTCTTGTTACGGAACTGCTTGTTTCTCAGTGGGCCGCGCCGGCTGGCTCATCGGATTCTCTGGGTGTGGTCCCATCCCTGGCCCGCAGTCCGCACAATCGATAACAACAAAGCTACACGTCTGTAGCAAAACAGACTCACACAACACTACTCAAAATGAACCGCATAATCGATAACAAATATTCGGAACTACTAACTCATGAACAAAATACACAGCTGTAACAACTATGAAAATGTAAACAACAAAGGTAAGACACTCAATATAAATTAACAAAAAAACACTATTTATCCACCTTACTCTTCCAGATCGGGCCCCGGTTCCGGACCCAGCGTACCCGCCCTACCATGAGACGATCACCTCCACTCGTCTCCCTCATTTTGGCCACCAAATGGCCTATATTAGCCCGTGTCGGCCATAATGCCCACCCTCCCCAGCAATATTATTTTAGCCGGACATGATTTCTTTCAATAGGTGCGTATAATTGGTTGCGTTTTCTTAAAATGTATAACAATCATAATCATTGCTTATGGCATTTATCTTGCAGCTGTTTAGGATCTCATGCAAGCGGATAATTCATTAACTTCACAGGTGCGTATTACTGCTGCATATATTTATACTAATTGACACAGCGCATTAATTCCTAAATTTTTCTCTTATCTTATAGAATTAATTTTTTTTTATTTTTTTACAACACTGAATGGAACAGGCGACGAAACACTACAAGGATATTGCTAGTCGCCGCAAAAGAAACGCGCAATGAGGCACTTTAGAGGCAATCGTTGCCCCGATTTAGGAACAATGGCCCGCACAATTACTTAAAACTGGGTATGTCACGTATTGTGTATTGTATGTATTAAATCGCTTAATTCTACCTTACCCTACCTAAAGAGCTCTCTGGGGGTGGTAAGGGGCGATATAAATGCGTAAATTCAAATTAGGTAAGTATGTGAGCATAGTTCGCGCAAGAGTTAATTTTAGATTTTTTTTTTTTATATTTTACAGGCGCAGATGCATCACCGTTGGAGTTTTCCTCACCGCTCGCACTCTAAAGTGAAGCTCGGCGTAAGTGCCTATGTATGTATGAATATATTTTATAAATACAAATTAACCAAATTTAACGATAAAAAAAATCTACTCCTTTTCAGGGAGTGCAATTAGGAGTCTTCTTCTGACTCGGCCAGGGGCTCGAACGAGGATGGGCAAAACAATGGAACGGACTCACTCGGTGGATGTGGGCGGGGTCTCGCCTGTGGCCGCTTCTTCGTTGTTGGAGCCCGGTCGTTGGTGGCTCGTCTCGTCGCCTTCACGTTTGCGCCGACGCTTGCTGGCGGCGTCGCGGATATGGCTGGTTTGCGCCGCTGCACTGAATCCTGGCCTTGAATATTTCGCGGGCCTCTCTGGTGCGCGAGCCGGTCTCCTTGGTGCCGGAGCCGTTAATTTTTGGCTTATTTGGTTCGTCTCTCGTCGCACTTAAATTTTTAAGTCTCTTTCAATTTTTTTATTATATTTTCTTTGTGATTCGAGCGGTTTGATTTATATAAATTTATTACATGGCAAAGAACACAAAAACAAAACTTTTATTCGTCTGTTAAGCCATTGGTATTATGTGCCGGCTTAATTTTTCAGAAGGGAAAAAATTTTACTCTGTCAAGCAGAAATGCAATGTCCAACTTTTTTGCTCACTTCGAGCTGGCACGCCCGCCGTTAACCGCTGAACAAATCGAACTCCCTGACATTTTTGGCAGCCACACCATCGGTGCCGAATTTCGGCACACGCATACATTTGCGAGGCGGGCACCGTTGCTGCTCATCTGCACAGCTGCATTTTTTTGGGTCAACGGCCCAAATGAAGGCCAAGGGCATATCCAAGGGCATGCGATCCACTCTCCTCGTATTCCCTTTAAGAGCGAAACGGGCGGCCAATAGCAATCGTCGCTTTTGGCGCCGTGGATCGCATGTCTGGCGTTGCCACCCTTCAAAATTTTGGGCTCCGCCGTGGGCCCAGCTTCACCCCGCATACTCCGACCATATGCCAAAAGATATCGGCGTGGCCGATAATATCGCACGCAACCAACTGAGTAACCCTCGGTGCTGCCGATAACGTCAAATGCAACATCACCACGCAGATTATTGTAACGACATGAAGGACAGTTACAAGGAATCTGCGTGCGCATTTCATGGATTGACCCAGCCGGCTAATAACGATGCCCAACGTAGGCCACACCCACGACAAGTAATCTATATTTTTTTTTGCTGACCCAAAAAAAAAGGGGGGACTGGCGCTGCCGCCGCCGTTGCCTGGCAAGGAGGTGAGCAAATTACGATTATGTTCGTATATCTTTTGCGTGGAAGACGCCTAGCACGCGTCCCTGGAGATCTTCCAACTCGTAGGCGTTGGTTCCCACGGCTCGGACGACGCGGCTCTTCAAGAACTTCCGGGCGAACTTGGCATTGAAGGCTTTGCCGAAGCTGCTTAGTGCGAAGTTGCGCCTCCACACTTCCTGTCCCGGTTCCAGATGGAGCTGTCGCGCGCGGTGGTCGTACCGTTGGCGACTTCGCTCGTATGCGGTGTGCAGGTGGTCCTTGACTTGGCTTCGGATTACAGCCAGTCTGTCCTTTGCGTCAAGGTCAGAAATACTGTGGTCGGCCAATGATCTCAGCTTCCTGGCCAGTTTGTAACTGGAACCATTCAGGTACATCTGCTGTCCAAAGACCGCGAAGAACGGAGTGACTCCCGTAGCGCTGTGGACCGCATTCCGGATCGCCACTTCCACCTCTGGTAGGTACGCGTCCCATTCCCGATGATCCTGACCCAGGTAGGTTCGGATTGCCGACAGCACTGTGCGGTTCACGCGTTCGGCGGCGTTGCTCTGAGGCGAATACACTGGTGTGCGCAGGTGAGTAATGCCAAACGCCTGGACCATCGCATCGAACGACTTTGACACGAATTGTCGTCCATTATCCGAATGGATCACTTCCGGCACGCCAAATTTGAAGAACACCTCATGCACTAGGAAGTTCACGACATCCGCCGCGGTGGCTTCCCTCATGGCCTTCAGGAAGGTAAACTTCGAGAAGTGGTCTACGACGACGAATATCCACGCATGCCCTCGTTTCGACCGTGGATACTTCCCCAAGAAGTCGATATATAGCTTCTGGAAGGGGCGGTCGGTGCGCACTTCTTCCCCAATTCCGACCTGCATTCGGTAGTTCTGTGCCTTGGTCTCCTTGCATGTATCGCATTTCCGAACATAGTCCCTGACTTGTATGGCCATGTTGGGCCAATAATATTGCCTGCGCAGCGCGTGCAGCGTTTTCCTCATGCCTCCATGAGCTGACGTCTCGTCCGCGTGTGCTTGTTGGATGAGTCCTGCCGTCAGCGACTCCGGCACCCAGAGCTTCCAACTTGTGCCTTCGACCTCATCCTCCAAGCTCTCGTGCACGGTCCTCTTGAACAGAAGTCCGTCCTGCACTCTAAGGTCCGGCAACTTCCCTTGTTGGCTCATCACCTCTCTTCTCAGCTCTCGATATTCGGTGCTCTCGAACTCCGGGGTCTGAAATCCCAACAGATCTTCCGGGGTCAGTTCGACCTCTTCCACGCTTCGGGACAATGTGTCTGCGACGACGTTGTCGGCTCCCTTGCGGTACTGCATGGAGAAAGGGAACGCTTGCAGTTCGAGGGACCACCTGGCTAATCTCCCGCTCAAGTCTTTGAGACTCATAAGCCACTGCAGACTCGCATGATCGGTGATTACCGTGAACGGCATCATCTCCACGTACGGCCGGAATCGATGTATGGCCAGTTTGGCGGCTAGGCATTCCTTCTCGGTCACCGAATAGTTGATCTGGTGCTTGTTGAGTTTGGCCGAGAAGAATGCGATCGGCCTTTCCTGTTGTTCGTCGTCTAGCTGGAACAACACGGCTCCTACTCCGTAGTGAGATGCGTCGCATTGGATGAAGAATGGTCTTCGAAAATCTGCGTGAACTAACACCGGGGCTGTGGTGAGGGCTAACTTTAAGCTCTCTATGGCTTCTATGGCCTCGTCGCTCAACACAAATCTACCCGTTCTCTTCTTAAGGGCATCAGTCAACGGTACCGATATCTCAGCGAAATTCTTTATGAATCGGCGGTACCACCCCGCCGTACCTAAGAAGCTTCGTAGTTCCTTGACCGTCCTCGGATTCGGGATGTTCCGGATCGCTTCTACCCTTCCCGGATCCATGCGCAGCGTCCCGCCGCCTATGATGAAACCCAGGTAGTTTAGGTTGCGGAAGCAGAATTTCGACTTCGCCATGCCTATGGTGAGGTTCGCGTTCCTCAGACACTCGGCCACCAATTCCAAGTATTTTAAGTGCGTTGGAAAATCTGCCGATATTATCAGCAAGTCGTCCAGGTATACGAATACGTTGGACCTCAGATTCGCCGGGATTACCTTGTCCATGAGCCTGCAAAGCTGTTGAGCGGCGTTGCAGAGCCCGAATGGCATGTGGCGGAACTGGTACAGCGGCCTCCCTGGTACAGTAAACGCCGTATACGCCCTGCTCTTCTCCTCCATCTCTATTTGCCAGAACGCGAACTTAAGGTCGACGCTAGAGATAAAATGAGTCTC